GGGCAGGAGAGGCTGGCCTCACTCCATCCTGTCCGACACCGGGGCCACGATGCGCCTCATGATTGATGCTCGGGGAAGCATCCTGGGGCCAGGTCCTGGCACAGCCGGCACTCCGAGTGGCGTCCTTCCCCGGGCCGCGTGCCGCTTCGAGTGCGCCCAGGAACTACACCGCCGAGATGCCAAACTGACGCTCTTGTCCGCTCCTCCTCCTCCTCCTCCTCCTCCTCCTCCGACGACGACGACGATGACGACGACGATCTCCTCGTCCGCTTGGTCGGGGCCCGATCCGCCTGTGCGAGCCGGGGGTCTCAGCGGCTGGACCCCGCGGGAGGCCACGAGAGTCCGCCGGACGGCGCCCTCCGTCCGCGTGCGCGCGCCCTGCGAGCCCCGGGAGGCCACCGCCGCCATCCCCGAAGCCCTCGGTCGGCATCCCCGAGCCTCCGCCTGCCGAGGGGGGCAGAGGGGGAGCTCTCCGCGGGCCAGCGCCTCCCGTCCGTGGCGTCCATCCCGGGTGTGCGGAGGCCAGCGCCCAGGAGCTCAGCCAGCAGGCAGTGGAGCTCGGCGACCGCCGCGGCCCGCCCGCCGATCCCCTCGGAGAGAGGGCGGCAGGCCCGGCTGGAGTCGGCAGAGCGCCTTCCCGCGGGGACCTGCCCGGGGGGCTGCAGGCCTGCCTCGCACCCTGTGCGAGAAGGCGCGCGAGGCGCAAGTCGGGCCCGTCCCTCTACGGGAGGACGATTCCCAAATACTCAAAAAATAGTCAGGGGACGATGTTCCGTTCATTTTCGGATAGTTTTGCGCATCTTTTCACTACTTTTGATTCTCCTTCAAAAATCCGCCTGTATGAGGACATGCCCGACCTAACGCGAGACGGACGTCGCAGGGCACCTGTCCAGCGACCACCTGCCTGGGGCTCATTTCGATTCCTCCGATTCGATTCGATTCGATTTCGATGGCTCCCGATTCCGATTTGACTCGACTTCGTATTCCGATTCAGGCTCCGATTTTTCAATGGAGGCCTACAAGCCTGCCGATTTCCGCCGCTTCGATTTTTCCCGACTAGGCTGCCGATTTCTTCCGGCCCGACTTATCGATTCGATTCTGGGCTCTCCTCCTGACCTTAAACAACAAAAAAATCTCCCCCGCGGCCTTGCTGCGACTGCCGTGGCGAAGAAGCCGCCCCGTCGCGGCGCCGGCCCTCGCCCCCGCGCGCGCCCTGTGCTTCTCGCCTTGAGCTCCCTGGCCCTCGCGACCGTACCGTCCGCTGGTGTCCCGTCGGTGTCCCGTCGGTGCCCCGTGGTGAGATCGATGGTCGATAGTGAGGCCGATAGTGAGGCCGATCGTAGGACCGATGGTGAGATCGATGGTGAGATCGAAAGTGAGATCGATTGGTGCCCCGCCGGTGTCCCGACGGTGTCCCGATGGTGTCCCGTCTGTGTCCCGTCGGTGTCCCGCGGGTGTCCCGTCGGTGTCCCGTTGGTGAGATCGATGGTTAGATCGATAGTGAGACCGTCGTCGCCAACTTAAGGACGTGCATCATCAGCATCGTCATCATCACCGCCATCGCAGTTGTCGTCAGTTGGTTCTTTCTCCCCCCACCAACCTCCTTATCACCCGAAGGGTGGTCGTATAGATGTGTAGATATATACACGCACCTCTGCCTTTCTCGCTCCCTCTCTCTTTCTCTTTATTTCCCAACCATCCTGTGGTGTTGGGTCCTCGTTTTGAAGAGACGTCGCCCCGCGTTCCTCCTTCCTCCTCCTTCCTCCTCCTCCCCTTCCTCCCCCCTCCTCCCCCTCCCACACCCATTCTGGCACACCCCTCACACGTTTCGTGGCCCCATAGGGAGCTCCACCGAAGCCCCAGTGGCTGCGCCCGCATGCGGTTCCACCCCCCATTCTGGCACACCCCTCACACGTTTCGTGGCCCCATAGGGAGCTCCACCGAAGGCCCCAGTGGCTGCGCCCGCATGCGGTTCCACCCCCCATTCTGGCACACCCCTCACACGTTTCGTGGCCCCATAGGGAGCTCCACCGAAGGCCCCAGTGGCTGCGCCCGCATGCGGTTCCACCCCCCATTCTGGCACACCCCTCACACGTTTCGTGGCCCCATAGGGAGCTCCACCGAAGGCCCCAGTGGCTGCGCCCGCATGCGGTTCCACCCCCCATTCTGGCACACCCCTCACACGTTTCGTGGCCCCATAGGGAGCTCCACCGAAGGCCCCAGTGGCTGCGCCCGCATGCGGTTCCACCCCCCATTCTGGCACACCCCTCACACGTTTCGTGGCCCCATAGGGAGCTCCACCGAAGGCCCCAGTGGCTGCGCCCGCATGCGGTTCCACCCCCCATTCTGGCACACCCCTCACACGTTTCGTGGCCCCATAGGGAGCTCCACCGAAGGCCCCAGTGGCTGCGCCCGCATGCGGTTCCACCCCCCATTCTGGCACACCCCTCACACGTTTCGTGGCCCCATAGGGAGCTCCACCGAAGGCCCCAGTGGCTGCGCCCGCATGCGGTTCCACCCCCCATTCTGGCACACCCCTCACACGTTTCGTGGCCCCATAGGGAGCTCCACCGAAGGCCCCAGAGGCTGCGCCCGCATGCGGTACCACCCCCCATTCTGGCACACCCCTCACACGTTTCGTGGCCCCATAGGGAGCTCCACCGAAGGCCCAGTGGCTGCGCCCGCATGCGGTTCCACCCCCCATTCTGGCACACCCCTCACACGTTTCGTGGCCCCATAGGGAGCTCCACCGAAGGCCCCAGTGGCTGCGCCCGCATGCGGTTCCACCCCCCATTCTGGCACACCCCTCACACGTTTCGTGGCCCCATAGGGAGCTCCACCGAAGGCCCCAGTGGCTGCGCCCGCATGCGGTTCCACCCCCCATTCTAGCACACCCCTCACACGTTTCGTGGCCCCATAGGGAGCTCCACAGAAGGCCCCAGTGGCTGCGCCCGCATGCGGTTCCACCCCCCATTCTGGCACACCCTTTCACACGTTTCGTGGCCCCATAGGGAGCTCCACCGAACGCTCCAATGGCTGCGCTCGCATGCGGTTCCACCCCCATTTCGGCACACCCCTCACACGCTTCGTGGGTGGCTCCATGGGGAGCTCCACCGAACGCCCCAGTGGCTGCGCTCGCATGTGGTTCCCCCCCATTTCGGCACACCCCTCACACGGTTCGTGGCCCCATAGAGAGCTCCACCGAAGGCCCCAGTGGCTGCGCTCGCATGCGGTTCCACCACCCTTTTCGGCACGCCCTTCACACGTCTCGTGGCCCCATAGGGAGCTCCACCGAACGCCGCAGTGGCTGCGCTCGCATGCGGTTCCACCCCCCATTTCGGCACACCCCTCACACGTTTCGTGGCTGCATAGGGAGCTCCACCGAAGGCCCCAGTGGCTGCGCTGGCATGCGGTTCCACACCCCATTCTGGCACACCCCTCGCACGCTTCGTGGCCCCATAGGGGGCTCCACCAAAGGTCCCAGTGGCACTGCCCGCTTGCGTCCGCCACCACCAGCACAGCCCTTGTTCCCTGCGCTTCACCCACCCAGAACAGCGCTTCGTAGCCCTATAGGGAGCTCCACCAAAGGTCCCAGCGGCACCGCCCGCATGCGTCCTCCACCACCCTGCACAGCCCTTGCTCCCTGCCTGCGTTTCACCCACCCAGTACAGCGTTTCGTGGCCCCATAGGGAGCTCCACCGAAGGTCCCAGTGGCACCGCTCGCATGCGTCCGCCACCACGCAGCACAGCCCTTGCTGACCGCGTCTCACCCACCCAGTACAGCGTTTCGTGGCCCCATAGGGAGCTCCACCGAAGGTCCCAGTGGCACCGCCCGCATGCGTCCGCCACCACCCAGCACAATTGCGGCATTCACAACTGCATATGGTTGGGTCCTTCGCCAGGCTAATTTTTTGGGGGTCAAATTTGGAGTAATGTTTGTGAGTATCCTAGGCTTTTCTCCATTACGAGGTCAGCCTTGTAGGAGGACATGCCCGACCTAACCCTTGCCCCCAGCTGTGATGGATTGGGCCGCTGGGTGCATAGAGTGGTGGTCATCCTCGGTGGTCATCCTCCTGCCACGCGCAGAGGGGGGCAACGGGGGAGGGGGGAAGGCTTCTTGGAAGCACCCCTGCTGCTTAGAGGGCGCGGGCCTTGCCTGCAGATGTAGGGCTAGCGCCTTCCGAGAAGCAGCCTCCCTTTGAGAAGCCTCTGGTGCGCGCCGCCAGCGGTCGTCTGGCACTCCTGGGCGCCAGAGGTCATCAACGACCGTGATCATCCTCGGTGGTCATCCTCCTGCCACGCGCAGAGGGGGCATCGGGGGAGGGGGGAAGGCTTCTTGGAAGCACCCCTGGCCTCTCAGAGGGCGCGGGAGCCTCATCTGCAGATGGAAGGCCGGCGCCTCCTGAGAAGCAGGCTCCTTCCAGGAAGCCTTCCCCCCCTCCCCCTCCTCCTCCTCCTCCTCCTCCTCCTCCTCCTCCTCTTCCTCCCCCTCCCCCTCCCCCTCCTCCCCTCCTCTCCTCCCTCCTCCTCCTCCTCCTCCTCCTCCTCCTCCTCCTCCTCCTCCTCCTCCTCCTCCTCCTCCTCCTCTCCTCCCCCGCCTCCTCCTCCTCCTCCTCCTCCTCCTCCTCCCGCAACTGTCTCACCAACTCGCGTATAGGAACTCTTCCTCGTCAAGGCTACGGCTTCCACCCCACTCCTCCTCCTCCTCCTCCTCCTCCTCCTCCTCCTCGTCGCTGGCCCTGATGATGTGTTCTTCCAGTGCCCGCCTACACCGCTCGGTAGCCTCGTTTGGGACGCGCGTTCGAGCTTACACTTCGACGAGGAGGAGGAGGGCGAGGAGGAGGAGGAGGAGGAGGGGGAGGGGGAGGAGGAGGAGGAGGAGGAGGAGGAGGAGCAGGAGGAGAATAGTCATAATAATGAGGAGGAATGCAGTTCATCGCGGTTTCTTTCTCGCTTATTCTCGTTTCGACCGAGCTGCATTGAGCGAGTAACGTAGGGGAGGGCCGATGTGCCTGCCGTTGGCACTGGCGACATGAGCTCCGCCTTGAAGCCCGGGCCCCACGAGGAGACACCCCGCCCATTGCGCCCTGGCTCTCCCGCGGCGAGACGGGGGGGGCTGACGAGCGAGACGACGGCGTTTACGATGACGCTAACGAAGGGGGTGGTGTCAGCAACATTTTTGAGTGCGACGATGATGCCGATGATGACGACGATGGCGACGACGACGACGACCCCGATAGATGGCGGCGATGATGAGCACGGAAAATGATGATGATGATGAGTGACCAAGAGTAGGCAGGGCTGTTGTCGCGTCCTAGCTGCCCGTGCTTTATTGTGCGTGTGTGTGAGTGTGTGTGTGTGTGTGAACTGAATGGGTAATGCCGAGATTTGCCTTCTGTGTGAGGTCGTGTGCCTCCTGGTGCACATCTTCTCTGGGGAGAGCGATACCGTTCTGATCATCGGACTACTGGATGGGATCTTCAGGAGACTCTTCGGCAGGGATCGTTGTTGCGAAACACCGACTGTCGCCATTAGCCTTGACCAGTCCCTGCTTTGGCTCTTTTTACTTTCCGTGCCTGTAGTCACCACCAGCCCCGCTTAGCCCGACCAGGCTGGCCATGGGGGCAACGGGTCCTGAGGTCATGGCGCCAGCCTCGCAGAGCGGATTTCGTGCGGAAAACGATATGATGGGCCCGGAGTGTCCTGGATCATTTCGTTCCGGATGTCGAGGTGAATTTCGCGCGGATCTTCTTTGGCCAGGAATGAAGACCAACACATATATCCACGCGAAGTTCGCTTCGTTTTTCGCTCGCCGCTCCGGGGTTTCGCACCGACGGGAGTCCGCGCAGGCAGCCGCGCACAGCACGTCTGCAGGGCCGGTGCAGTGGCCTGCTGCTTCTCGCCGCCCGCGGGCTCTCGGGGCCCTCGGCAGGCCCCGGGACCTGTCTCAGGTAGGAGGCCACATGCGAACCCTACCCTTCGATGCTCGTTTTGGGGACCTTCCTGGGGGCCACCTAATGGATCTGTTCGACTCAGGTTCGACTCAAGTTCGACTCAGGTTCGACTCAGGTTCGACTCAGATTCGACTCAGGTTCGACTCATGTTCGACTCAGGTTCGACTCAGTTTCGACGCAGCTTCGACGCACGAGTGGAGCGAGTGGCTGCAGGAAGGTCCCCAGAATGAGCATCTAACTACCCCTACCTCCCACGATTTCTGAGGGGGAGGGTGGGGTTCACTTCGCTCGGGAGCTCCCGAACAAAGCGAACCCCCCCCCCCATCAGAAATCGTGGGGGGTAGGGGTAGGGTTCGCATGTGGCCCCCTGTCAGGGAATGGCTCGGCACGAGGAGCTGGCCCCCGGGGAGGGCCCCATGGTCCGGGACCCGCTTCCCGCGGGGCCCGCCTACCCCATGCGGACAGGTCCTCTTCTTCACGGACACGTCTCATTGCGCCCGCCTCGCAGAGCGGATGTCGTTCGGAAAACGCATGGGCCCAGAGTGTCCTGAATCATTTCGCGTGGATTTTTCTGGCCAGGAGTGAAGACTAAAACAAATCCACGCGAACTTCTTTTCGTTGTTCACACTCCGTTTCTGGGTTTTGCATTGACAGAAATCCATGCAAAAAGCCGCTGCAGCACGTCTGCAAGGTCGGTGCAGTGAGATATGTCTCGCTCGAGAGTTTAGCACCGCAGCAGTCGGCACCTGGGGAGACTGCGCGCTGTCTGTCGGTGCGCAGTGCGGGGCAGCTCGCAGGTCCAGGAGGACCGTCTGGTATCGGAGACCCCGCGTTCGGAAGCAAGTCATGGGAGCCTGGTATACCCTCTCTCAATTCCGACTTTAGCGTCGATTAGCGTCGATCAGCGTCTGGGAGTCGATGATACAGCGCCGATCTAGCGCCGGTCGGCGTAGATTAGCGTCGATTTAGCGTCGACTGGCGTCGATGAGCGTGGATTTCGCGTCGATGAGCGTTGATTCGCAAGAGCCGACAAGATGGTACGGGAGGCTCCCGTGAGTTGCCGCAGAACCCGCGCGCACGCTCGCGCATGGGCGTCCCCCTCGTGCTCTCCAGGCGAAGGAGCTCCGGCGGCGGGGATCTGTTCCTTGGGCCACCGCCCGGAGGATCGATCTTCGGAGACCTCGGCAGGCGGTGGAGATGGATATCTTTGGACCCCCAGGGGTCAAAATTTGGGGAACGAAGGATGACACAAACATAACAACTCGGAGGTCCGCGCGGATTTCTCGGATCCGCGCTGGACCCCCCCTGGCGGTGCCTCCTGCGCCGCCCTCGGCGCGCTCCGCGCGCCAGGGAGGGGGTCCAGCGCGGATCCGAGAAATCCGCGCGGGCCTCCGAGTTTTGATGTGTATGTTATTGCTTGTTTTCCTACAGATCTACATCCACATCCACCGCCTGCTGGGTTCCCAGGACGTCGGTTCCCAGGCGGTGGATGTGGACAACTCCCCGCCTCGCAGGAGTCGCCCCCACGTTCGGCGTGGGCCAGGCAGGAGGCCTCACTCTGCCCGAACGGCGGGGCCGCATCTTGGGGCGGAGATGGGGCGCGTAACGCCTATGCGAGGCCCAGGTCAGGTGCGTGGTGGCAGCTGCCTAGACAAACCGGGGCCAGCGGTTCCATTCTCGACTCGGGCGTGTTGACCGCGTGCATTGGCGCCTCGTCAAGAGTGTGTGTGTGAGAGAGAGGTAAGGACACACACATGCATACATACATAGAGAAGGTATGTACGTATGTCTGTGTGTCTGTCTGTCTGTACGTAGGTTTTGTCTTTCTGTATGCAGGTCTGTCTGTCTGTACATACGTATGTCCGTATGTTTATTTATTTATTTATATATATATGTATATACGTCGTTAAACACTTACACATCTATGCATCCATATATGTTAATCAGCGCGGACCCAAAAGAGTGTGTTTCTAGCAGTCTACGTTGTGCACTCTATGTGGAGCACTACATGTGGTGCAATCAATATGGTGCACCGTATGCGGTGCAATCTATGCGGTGTAATCTATGTGGTGCAACCCACTCTGCGGAACTTGAAGTCGTCATCTCCACTGCTCGCGCAAACATCCCACCCACCCACCCGCAACTTGGTTTGCAAAACCTGTTAAGACCGACTACGACGACACCGACGACAACGACTAGGACGACACCGACGACGTCTCCGACGACTTCGACGACGACAACGACGCCGACGACCGACGACGACGGACGACGACGACGAAGGAAGAAGGACGAGGAAGGACGACGACGGCGACAACGACGACAACGACGAAGGAGGAGGGAGGACGGTGACGACGCGAACGACGACGAAGGAGGAAGGACGGCGACGCCGACGACGACAACGACGAGGGAGGAGGGAAGACGACGACGACAACGACGACGACGACGGCGACGACATAGGAGGGACGACGATGAGACGCCGACGACGGACGACGACGACGACGTGGGAGGAGGAGGAAGGACGACCACGGCGACAACGACGATGGAAACGACCACGACGCCAAAGAGGACGACGACGACAAACAGGAGAAAAGACAGAGGACGACGTAGGCGACGACGACGACGACGCGGGAGGAGGGAGGACGGCGACGACGACGACGACGACGACGACGCAAGAGCGCGCGCGCACGCTTTTGTTGAAAATCCGTGTTGCGAAACCTTGGGTTCTTGTAGGTTTTTTGGACGCACGATTTTGAAATCCTTCCGAAACCGATGGGTTTTGAAGGTTTTCGGCATACGTCCGCGACGACGCGCGCGTCTGCACTTCGTCCTATTTTTTGCAGAGGGTTCTCGCGACGGCACACGCGCAAGGGCGTTCGACAGATTTCGACATGCGCGCGCGCGAAGCCCGTTTGGTAGCATTTTGTGAAAGTCTTGAAAAAAACCCCATGGTTTTCTTAAGATTTCGCAAGAGCTCGCGCGGATTTTTTTAGCAAATCAGTGTTGCGAAACCATGTGTTTTTGTATGTGTTTCGGAAACTCGATTGCGAAATCCTTCCGGCACCGAAGGTTTTTGAAGGATTTCGGCATGCGCGCGCGACGACGCGCGCGTGTGCACTTCGTCCCATTTTTTGCAAGGGATTCGTGAAAAAGTGTTATGTTAGAAAGAAAAATGTCCCCGCATAGTGTTATTTGACAGGGAACCGCAGGGGGGGGATACCGGCTTGGCTGGGATGGTATGAATTCATATTTAGGATGGACATGTGGTCAGAATCATATGTGATTTACAGCACGCGCGGGGGACCCGATAAGTCCGGGGGGGGGGGGGTAGAGTCTATTATTTTTTTAGAAAGGAGAATCTAGACTCTGCGGAACTTGAAGTCGTCATCTCCACTGCTCGCGCAAACATCCCACCCACCCACCCGCAACTTGGTTTGCAAAACCTGTTAAGACCGACTACGACGACACCGACGACAACGACTAGGACGACACCGACGACGTCTCCGACGACTTCGACGACGACAACGACGCCGACGCCGACGACGACGAAGACGACGACGACGACGCCAACGAAGGCGACGACGAGGAAGGAGGAAGGACGACGACGGCGACAACGACGACAACGACGAAGGAGGAGGGAGGACGGTGACGACGCGAACGACGACGAAGGAGGAAGGACGGCGACGCCGACGACGACAACGACGAGGGAGGAGGGAAGACGACGACGACAACGACGACGACGACGGCGACGACATAGGAGGGACGACGATGAGACGCCGACGACGGACGACGACGACGACGTGGGAGGAGGAGGAAGGACGACCACGGCGACAACGACGATGGAAACGACCACGACGCCAAAGAGGACGACGACGACAAACAGGAGAAAAGACAGAGGACGACGTAGGCGACGACGACGACGACGCGGGAGGAGGGAGGACGGCGACGACGACGACGACGACGACGCAAGAGCGCGCGCGCACGCTTTTGTTGAAAATCCGTGTTGCGAAACCTTGGGTTCTTGTAGGTTTTTTGGACGCACGATTTTGAAATCCTTCCGAAACCGATGGGTTTTGAAGGTTTTCGGCATACGTCCGCGACGACGCGCGCGTCTGCACTTCGTCCCATTTTTTTGCAGAGGATTCTCGCGACGGCACACGCGCAAGGGCGTTCGACAGATTTCGACATGCGCGCGCGCGAAGCCCGTTTGGTAGCATTTTGTGAAAATCTTGAAAAAACCCATGGTTTTCTTAAGATTTCGCAAGAGCTCGCGCGGAAGTTTTTTTAGCAAATCAGTGTTGCGAAACCATGTGTTTTTGTATGTTTTTCGGAAACTCGATTGCGAAATCCTTCCGGCACCGAAGGTTTTTGAAGGATTTCGGCATGCGCGCGCGACGACGCGCGCGTGTGCACTTCGTCCCGTTTTTTGCAAGGGATTCGTGAAAAAGTGTTATGTTAGAAAGAAAAATGTCCCCGCATAGTGTTATTTGACAGGGAACCGCAGGGGGGGGGATACCGGCTTGGCTGGGATGGTATGAATTCATATTTAGGATGGACATGTGGTCAGAATCATATGTGATTTACAGCACGCGCGGGGGACCCGATAAGTCCGGGGGGGGGGGGGTAGAATCTATTATTCTTTTAGAAAGGAGAATCTAGGTGGTGCGATCCACTCTGCGGAACTTGAAGTCGTCATCTCCACTGCTCGCGCAAACATCCCACCCACCCACCCGCAACTTGGTTTGCAAAACCTGTTAAGACCGACTACGACGACACCGACGACAACGACTAGGACGACACCGACGACGTCTCCGACGACTTCGACGACGACAACGACGCCGACGCCGACGACGACGAAGACGACGACGACGACGCCAACGAAGGCGACGACGAGGAAGGAGGAAGGACGACGACGGCGACAACGACGACAACGACGAAGGAGGAGGGAGGACGGTGACGACGCGAACGGCGACGAAGGAGGAAGGACGGCGACGCCGACGACGACAACGACGAGGGAGGAGGGAAGACGACGACGACAACGACGACGACGACGGCGACGACATAGGAGGGACGACGATGAGACGCCGACGACGGACGACGACGACGACGTGGGAGGAGGAGGAAGGACGACCACGGCGACAACGACGATGGAAACGACCACGACGCCAAAGAGGACGACGACGACAAACAGGAGAAAAGACAGAGGACGACGTAGGCGACGACGACGACGACGACGCGGGAGGAGGGAGGACGGCGACGACGACGACGGCGACGACGCAAGAGCGCGCGCGCACGCTTTTGTTGAAAATCCATGTTGCGAAACCTTGGGTTCTTGTAGGTTTTTTTGACGCACGATTTTGAATTCTTTCCGAAACCGATGGGTTTTGAAGGTTTTCGGCATACGTCCGCGACGACGCGCGCGTCTGCACTTCGTTCCATTTTTTGCAGAGGGTTCTCGCGACGGCACACGCGCAAGGGCGTTCGACAGATTTCGACATGCGCGCGCGCGAAGCCCGTTTGGTAGCATTTTGTGAAAATCGTGAAAAAACCCATGGTTTTTTCTTAAGATTTCGTAAGAGCTCGCGCGGATTTTTTTTTTTTTTTTTTTTTTTTTTTTTTTTTTTTTTTTTTTTTTTTTTTTTTTTTTTTTTTTTTTTTTTTTTTTTTTTTTTTTTAGCAAATCCGTGTTGCAAAACCATGTGTTTTTGTATGTTTTTCGGAAACTCGATTGCGAAATCCTTCCGGCACCGAAGGTTTTTGAAGGATTTCGGCATTCGCGCTCGACGACGCGCGCGTGTAAATTTCGTCCCATGTTTGCAAGGGATTAATGAAAAAATGTTATGTTAGAATGAAAAATGTCCCCGCATAGTGTTATTTGACAGGGAACCGCAGGGGGGGGGATACCGGCTTGGCTGGGATGGTACGAGTTCATATTTAGGATGGACATGTGGTCAGAATCATATGTGATTTACAGCACGCGCGGGGGACCCGATAAGTCGGGGGGGGGGGTAGAATCTATTACACTTTTAGAAAGGAGAATCTATTTTGAACCATCTCGGTTGCGCAAAAAAAAGCTCGTGCGATCTATGTTATGCAATCAATGTGGTGCAATGCATGTGGAGCAATCAGTGTAGTGCAGCCTAGGTGGTGCAATCTATGTGGCGCGATCTACGTTGTGCACTATATGTGGTGGTGCAATCGATGTGGTGCGATCTACGTTGTACAATCTGTGTGGTGCAATCGATGCGGTGCAATCTGTGCGGTGCAATTTGTGTGGGGCGGCGACGGGGCGGCGACGGCGACGAGGGGGCGGCGACGGCGAGCACGGAGCCGCCAGACTGGCAGCCAGGCCCAGCTCTCTGAACACAAGGGAAAACCCCTAAGTGAAAACATTTTTTTGATTTTTGTCAACAAATAATTTATATGTAAAGTATATGTGTGTATGTATATATATATATATGTAGAGAGAGAACAAGAGAGAGAGAAAGAGAGAGAGAGAGAGAGAGAGAGAAGGAGGGAGAGAGACAGAGAGAGAGAGAGAGAGCGAGAGAGAGAGCGAGAGTGAGAGAGAGAGAGAGAGAGTCCGCCAGATGTACCAGTTCGCCTCCTACCAGCCGTCGCTTCCACTGCCACGCCAGTTCGACGTCGGCCAGCACGTCTGGTACAAGTCAAGGAGTGGGGCGATCTGACGTAACGACGCCTCGTTATTCCTATGATGGGTGGCATGGGGGAGGAAGAGGAGAAAAGGATGATTGGGACGGAGGAAGCGTACGAGGCGTGTGGACTTACAGTGCAATCCTGGGACCAGTGCGAAGTCGTGATTTTTACGCAGGGGGCTCGACTCTTTTTGACCTCCCCCCTAATTTCTGTCACAGCATCATGCGGACGTGACTGACATAACCGTTGAGGACTGCTTGCCCAAGCCGGCGGCACCACGCCCCAATCAGCACCGTGTTCGGGGGCTGGGGGGGATCAACATCCCCCTCAAGCGTGCGAGGGTTCGAATATTCTGGCAATCGCAAGCATGGATCAAGGGGGGCGTGGATAAGCGACGGGTCCCGCTTCCATGGGAGATCCCGTATGCCCGCCGCCGAGCGAGTCGGCTCCGGCCGCATTTTTGGGAAGTACCGCGCGCCAAATCCACGGATCGCTAATCCATGTTTGCGCGCCCCCGAAGTATATTGTCCATGTACTGTGCCCCGACACACATTTCCGTCGGTGACCTCGCGGAAGGGCTCCGGCGGGGAAGGGACGACGCACGGCCTGCAGAGCCGCGCGCCGTCCCCAGGTCGACCGGACACGGAGTGCTGCACCCCGCCGCGTGTGTCTGATTGGCTGAGGCGACGCGGTCGCGAACCACACTGGCGCATACAGACCCAGAGGAATGGACGATGATGACGATGATGACGATGACGATGACGATGACGATGATGATGATGATGATGATGATGATGATGATGAGGATGATGATGAGGATGACGAGGATGATGAGGATGATGATGATGATGATGGTGATGATGATGATGATGATGCTGATGCTGATGATGATGATGATGCTGATGATGATGATGATGATGATGATGATGATGATGATGAGGTGACGGAGGATTACGTAGAGGACGATATCTATGATTTAATTGATGATGAAAATTATGATGACGTGGAGCTGCTTTGGTGATGGTGAATATTATGGGGTGGGGTAATATGATGAGGGAGACTGATGGGGACGACGAGGAATGTAATGTTGTGGAGGCAGGACCTGCGAGCAAGTTCATGGGTCGCCCTCCCATGATGAAGGGGTTTGCGCACTTCTCGTCGCTAACCAGTTCTCATCGCTAACCAGTTGTCATCGCTCGTCCTGGTAGTCAATCGCCAGATCTCGTCGCTCCACCAAGCGAGTCGGTAGGGCTTTCCATACGTTTCGCACAGAACTATTTCGCAGTGAACGGCGTGTCCCAGTCTACCTTCAACGGGCACACGAGTGGAGGGCGGTTCGTATCCGTGTTAGCTTATTTTGATCCCACACAGTGTGCTTCTGGCAATACAGGTGGTGCAATCTATGTGGAGCAATGTATGTGGTGCAACATATGCGGTGAAATGTATGTTGTGCAATCTAAATGGTGCGCCCTATGTTGAGCAGCAAGTGAAATGTAAGTTATGATGTGCCATGCATATGGCGCGGTCTTTGTTGTGCAACCTATGTGGTGTAGTCGAGGTGGTGCAACTATTTTTGAAGAACTTTGAGTTGTCAACTCCACTGCTCGCGCAATCATCCCACCCACTCACCCGCAACATGGTTTGAACAGTCCATGCGGCGGCGATTGCGTTGGGTGCTTGGCGCTGGTTGGCGCACCTCTGCTGCCGCCCTGGCGCTCGCATGCTCGCGCCCAGAGCGGCCAGGTAGGCTGGCGCGACCGACGCGGCCGCGGTGACGCTGACCCTTGGAAGTTCCCCAGCGCGTCTCACAGGCTACGCTGGCACGCAGGTACTTCAGTGCGAGACGGTGACTTGGGCGGGCGTGGTATCATGGTGACGTCGACAAAGGCGGTAACGATGATGCTGGTAGCGGTGATGGTGGCGATGCTGACGGTGACGACTGCGCGGCCACTGGTGGCGCTGATGGTGGTTACGCCGATGACGATGATGGTGTCCACGTCGGTGATGAAGGTTGTGGACGGATTTCGGCATGCGTGCGGGCGACGCTCGCGAATGGCCCGCATGGTGTGATTTGACCGGGATCGTGCCCCCCGCTCCCCAGCCAGCGCGCACGGGCGCTCGAGTGACTTCGACATGTGTGCGCGAAGGGCCCGCTTGGTCGCATTCGACGAACAGTCTGAGAATCAATTGGGTTTCTCTGGAACTCGCAAGAGCGCGCGCGCAAACTTGTTTGAACCGTCGCGCTGCAAAACCACGGGTTTGTTCTATGCTTTCGGGGCACTCGATCTTGGAACCTTTGCGGCACCAGCGTGTTTTGGAACGATTGCGCCATGCGCGCGCGACGACGCGCGCGCGCGTGTGCATTTCGCTTCGTTTTTCTTCCATGGGCTCTTGCGAAATGATGGTTGGTGGTGAACAGGTGCGCGCGCATCATGTTATTTGGCGAGGGTGCTTGGGGGGGGGGGGGGGGCGGCTTTGCTGGGTTGGTATGAATTCATGGTTCGGATGAACAATGTTGCATAATCGTCTGTATACTGCACACCACCAAAAAGGGGGACCCTAGTCTTCGTTTAGAGAGGATTGTTCTTTAGAAAGAGCTTGGAGTTGTCAGCTTCAGTGCTCGGGCAATCATCCCACCCACCCACCCGCAGCTTGGTTTGCAAAACCAATGCGGCAGCGATTGCGATGACTGCTGGCCGCTGCCTGGCGCATTGTTGCGGCCGCCTCTAGCGCGCAAGCTCGCGCGCAGAGCGGCCAGCTAGTTTGGCGTGGCGGGCGCGGCCGCGTTGGCGCTGACAGCTGTGGACTTCCCAACGCGTCTTGCTGGCCGCGGTGGCGCGCGGGCATTCCGCTGCGAGTCGGTGATTCGGGCGGGCGCGGTCTCATAGTGATGTTGACGACGGCGGGAGCGATGGTGATGATAGTAATACTGTTGACGATGATGACGATGACGGCGGCGCGCCCAATGAAGGGGCCGATGGTGGTCACGCCGATAACGATGGTGGTTTCCACGTGTCGGTGGTGAAGGCTTTGGGCGGATTTCGACATGCGCGCGCGGGCAACGCGCGCGAATGGCCCGAATGGTGTTATTTGACAGGGATCGTGTCCCTTCAGCCAGCGCGCAAGGGCGTTCAAATGATTTTGACATGCGCGCGCGGGGGGCTCGTTTCGTCACATTTGACGGACATGTTGAGAGCTCTGTTTTCCATACTCATTCGCAAGAGCGCGCGCGCAGTTTCTTTGAACACCATGTCGCGATTATTCGTGCACGCGTATGTGTGTGTGTGTGTGTGTGTTTCGATGGACCTCGATCTTGAAATCGCGAACCCTCTAGTTTTGTTCGAACGCGGCTGATTTTTACTGAACGACTGCGCGCGCATAGTTTAATTGCACGAGGGGTGGCCTGTCTGTGGAGGTGTGTGCGAGTGCGAATATTTACACTGAGCAATGGGGTACAATCGTATGTTCATTGTTCCACCCCATAGGGGATCCGACAAACTTCGGGTTGTTGTTGGTGGTGGTAGATCCTCAGTTCTTGTTAGTTAGGAGAGCCTTCGTGGCGCAAGTAAGTTTGAGGAGCTTGTAGTTGTCAGCTCCAGTGTTCGCGCAATCGTCTTACCCACCCGCCCGCGTCTTGGCTTACAAAACCATGCTGCGGCGGTTGCGATGGGTGCTCGGCTTTGGCTGTCGCATCTCAGCGGCCGCGCTGGCGCTAGCATGCTCGCGCCCAGGGCGGCCAGGTAGTCTGGCGCGACCGACGCGGCCGCGGTGGCGTTGACCGTTGAGGACTTTCCAGCGCGTTTCGCGCGCCGCGGTGGCGCGCGGGCGCTTCATTGCGAGTCGGTGATTCGGGCAAGCGCAGTATCACGGTAACGCCGACAACGGTGGAAACGATGATGCTGATGCGGCTGATGATGATGAGGATGGTGATGATGATGATGGTGCTGATGATGGTGATGATGAGGATGATGATGATGATGATGGTGATGGTGATGCGGATGAAGATGAAGATGCTGATTATGATGGTGATGATGATGGTGATGATGGTGATGATGGCAGCGTTGATGTTGATAATGGTGACGGTGACGACGACATGGCCACTGACGGCGCCGATGCTGGTCACACCGATGGCCATGATGGTGTCCACGTGTCGGAGATGAAGGTTTTGGACGGCTTTCGGCATGGTGTGCTTTGACAGGAACCGTGCCGTCCCACCCTTCGCCAGCGCGCAAAGGCGTTCGAATGATTTCGGCATGCGCGCGCGAGGGGCCCGCTTGGTCGCATTTTGCGATTATCTTGAACAACCTGTGGTTTCGAATGGCCATGTTGCAACAACCTTGCTTTTCATACGTATTCGGGCCACCCGAATTTGATTATTATACGCAGCCCATGGTTTTGAGGGGTTTCGGCTTGCGCGCGCGACGACGCGCGTGTTCGGATTGTGTCGGAGTTTCGGCATTTTCCAGGTCAGCACACCAAAGCGTGTTGGCGATTGATAAACGATTGCGCGCATATAGTATTACATGGCAGGGGCGGGGCGTGCCGATAACAAAACAGGAGTTTGCGTGGCTGGGAAGGTGTGGGCGCATCTGTGAAGTGAGCGATGCGGCACCTACGTCGCACGTGATTTGTCCCACCCCAGCGGTGCGGTTGAATTCGAGGGGTTGGAATGGTGGCCGATACGTTTCCTTCATGGCAAAGAGAACATACGTGGTGCAATCCATGTGGTGCCGTTTATGTTTTATGTGGTGTGATTCTGCGAAGGTTCGTCGAGGCGGCGACGGGGCGGCGACTTCGGCCACATAGCCGTCAGAGCGGCCGTTAGGCCCAGACGACGTGCGGCGACAAGGGGGCGACGGGGAGGCGGCGGCTGCCGCATAGCTGCCACACTGGCCGTCAGTCCCAGTTCTTTAGAAAAGGAGCTCTAACCTCTGAGCGCAAGCGCTGTTGGGAGAAATGTGTTTTCCCCGTTCTGTGCTGCTTGCGCCCAGGGCATTCGTGGCAGTGTCCCTTGGG